TATCACCTTAAAAGTATTGTAATTTAGTGCTTACTTCAAAAAAAACCTTTCTCTCTCTCTCTCTCTCTCTCTGACTCTCTCTCTTTCCTTCTCTTCTTCCTTCCCTCCACACCACCCTCTCTCCCTCACAGTCTATGAACTTCAGCAGTCACTAGTCACCATGTATTCAGGCATCCAATGTCACAGTTTTAGCTTTGACTGTGAAAGGGCATCTGGCAGTGATGAGCTCTATAGCTACATTACAGGCAAACATAAACTTGTGTTGATTTTTGAGTGTTCTGCAGTGGCTAAAGCAGTATTATAAAATATCTTTAAAACTCTATCACTTGGAAAAAATATTTGAAATGTGCCTTATAGGTCCTCTTTTATCAAATGTTTAACACTGGGTTTGGCACTTTAATAGGCCGCCCTAGATGTTTGAGTGGGTATCTACATAAACTCTGATGGTTTATTTACAACTGTAGCTTTTAATGGAAATGTAAAATAATTTCTCTTCTGGGCAGTCCACATTTCATTGCAAGCACATCAACAAAATGTGAAATTCACATAAAACGCCAAGTCGCAAGTATCATGAAAGCTGGGAGAGGCATTGCTGCATATTTTAGATGGCCCATGTATTTATGGTGTGGGTAGGCATACTGTAAAGCCTAATATGGTGGTGTTGCTCTATTGTAATAAAACAATGTGGTGTTTGAGTGGAGGGGGAAAAAAGGTTGGTGAATTATAGCAGTCATTGTACCTTGTTTCCTGTTATTGAAAATGGAATATGATTATCAAATGTGAGCAGTGTGCATTTTACATGCTTAGTTATAGATCTCACTTTTTATGTGTGCCTGGAATATCAATATTTGTTTTACTTTTAAGGAACATTAGTTACAAATACAATAAGTGTGTTTCATTTTTCATCTAGGACATACTGTCTTCAGTTCTCGAGTCAGGGCAGGCAATATATGTCTCAATGATTATTGATCTAAAAGCCAGTTGATAGTAAGCAAGACTGGTTTGTAATGAGCCAGTACATGAGCTGCTTCTGCTCTCTGAAACCCATGGAACTGGAGTGAGTAGCAATAAATAAGAGCTTAATTAAATTGCTCCTTGGCAGATTGCTGGACTGTCTTTCAGATTGGACTTGGAACCCGTGGGGTCTCCTTTTCCCCTTGATGTATGCGTAGAGTTCTCATTAATGCTAATGGGAGTTATGTGCAGTAAGGGAAGGCTGACCCCACATTCTACTGTGTCAATGAAATACCGAAAAAGTATTTTTGTTTCTCCCTTGGGCTATTCGGCGATGGATTAAAAAAAAAATCCAGACTGAGGCACGAGAATATGAGGCATATGGTACCTAGCCTCTCAGTGCTCTCAACACATGTTTAATAGGAACAATAATGGTAATAATAATAACAATATTCCTAAAAATATATAAAAGTGCTGTGCTGTATTTTCTGTGCTAGTTAGTTATAGATTGTAATTGTAGACCAAGAGATAAGACTGTTAGCTCCCTTTGGAAATATCCTCACTCTCTGTTTAGTTCCATGTACACTTGATTATGGTGCTTAGTAAACCATAGAAACTGTGCTCCTAGGCTAGAAATGAATGAAAATGATTAATTGGATCTTTTAAGGTATTGCATTTATAGGAGGGCACATGTAGCCTTCAGCTCATTTGGGTTCAAAGCCACCTAAAAGATATGAATGCTTGAAAATGAGGATAGACAGGACTACTAGGCATGATTTCAACTTGTATGCTGCTGTTGCTCGTTCAATGCAATTCAATACAAAAACATTTATGTGGTATTTATTAGGTACTAGGAAGTGTGTGAGGCACAGGAAATAAAAAGACAAAGTCAAACAGTCTTGTCCTTAAGGAGCTTCGTATGTGTTGGGGGAAGGGGAGTGAGGAGGATATAACATGCACATAGATAAGTAAATTCAGGGTAAAACTAGTAAGGAGAGAACACTAACAATGAGGAGAGAGCAAGGAAAGCTTCACCAAAGATGTAATACCTATCCTGAACCTTGAAAGAACATGGACTTTCCAAGAGGCAGAGGGGAAGAGGGAGTGCAAGAGCATGGAGAGAAGAGATGTAACAGAGTTATGAGACAGTTTGTAAGTAATGTAAAGTGTGTCAGAGAGTATAATATGAAATAGCACTGAGATGATGGATCAAGGCAGATTGAGGAAAGTTTTAAATGCCAGACTGATAAGTGTGTATTTTATCCAAGGTAATAGGGAATCACTTAAGGCTTTTGAGTGAGGGTGTGACACAGTCAGACTTGTGTTTTACAAATATTAATTTGGAAGCTGTGTTGAAAAGTTTTTGCAAAGGAGTGGTTTTCTTATCTTTTTGAGTGTATATGCACATTTTCTGGAAGCATATGATGTAATGATATGACAAAAACAGGTATATATTCCTACATCTGTTCGTTCAGTTGTTTACAGTTGTGCCTGACTCTTCGTGACCCCGTTTGGGGTTTTCTTGGCAAAGATACTGTCCTGGTTTGCCATTTTCTTCTCTAGCTCATTTGACAGATGGGAAAGCTGAGGCAAACAGGGCTAAATGACTTGCTCAGGAACATATAGCTAGTAAGGGTCTGAGGCCAGATTTGAACTCAGGAAAATAGGTCTTCCTGATTCCAGGCACTGTACCACCTAGCTGCCGTGTATTCATAAACATGTATATAAAAAGTAGTAGGAATGGTAACTGTGTTAGTAGTAATAGTAGTAGTGGGGGCCATCTCTAGTCATCCTGATCTATAGCTTGCCACTGGACCCAGATGGCTCTGGAGGAGGAGAGAGTGAGGCTGGTGACTTTGCACAGCCCTGCCTTACTTGAATCCAATTTACTTGCAAATCATGACACTGCCTTCCCAATGTCATGGTCCTCTTCAAGAATGAAGGACAAACAACAATCAACAATCTGTGAGTAGCTGCCCCAATGTGAACCCAACTGGCCAGTTCCAGTTGGGCAACACAGCTCCTTCCTTCTATCCTTCCTCCCTTCCTTCTTTCCTCCCTTCCTTCCTTCCTTCCTTCCTTCCTTCCTTCCTTCCTTCCTTTCTTTCTTTTTTACCTCTTTCCCTCTTTACCTCCTTTTCTTCTTCCCTCCATCTCTCTCTACTTCCTTTTCTCCCTCCCTTTTCTCCCTCTGTCTACATATGGAAAAATACCTTTACCTGTGGGTACTCTGCCCCAAGGAATATAAATTTTGATTGCTGAAACCTCACGAGATATCTTGGTGTTTATGGGTTAGATTTTTCTTTTTAAAACCATTCTTTAACACCAAGGCACTCTGGCTTTCATTGATTTGTCAATAGTAGGTCTCAGACCAAGCCTTATTTGAGGATGGTTTAGGCTCTGATGGTTCAAAATGAGTCTAAATTGCAATTGTTTCTGTTTTGGTCAAAAACCCTGAAGTTCTTCCCTTCCCAGGTTGTTGTTTTTGTTTGTTTGTTTGTTTTGGTTTTGGTTTTGGTTTTTTTTTTGACTAGGCAATTGAGGGCATTATTTGCTTCATGTCTTACCTAGCCTTAATCATTGAATGGGCATTGCCTCAGTTAGACTGAAACCTGGGGAAGACTTTACCTTAAAAAGGCCAAGGTCTTTCACTTCATCCAGAGCCATCTCCAGTCATCCTGATCTATATCTTGCCACTGGACCCAGAAAGCCTCAGAAAAGAGAGAGAGGCTGGTGACTTTGTACAGCCTTGCCTCACTTAAATCCTATTCACTTGCAAGTCATGATATCACCTTCCTGATGTCATGGTTCTCTTCTAGAACAAAGGACAAACAACAATAGTAGTAGTAGTGGTGGTGGTGGTGGTGGTAACAAAGGCAGATGTAGTGGTAGTAATATATATTTATACAATACTTTAAGGTTTACAAAACGCCATGCTCACAATATTTCTGGGAAGTAAGTATCATAAATATTATAATCGTCCTTTGGTAGATGAAAGTAAAACCTGGATAGGTTAAATGACTTGTCTAGAATTTCTAGGACCACATAAACTGAGTGGCAGAACTGGGATTTGAAACAAGTTTATATTAAAATCCATGTTCAAGCAGAACTACAATTCCCTAATTCTAGAAGGACTACCCTTGAGTACATCTTTTGTTGTTTTTATGTTTGTTTGTATTTTTCTTTCGTTTTTTATTCATTAGCTTTCTACACACACACACACACACTTAGTAGTATTTTTCCCAATCCCATGTAAAGATAGTTTTCAGCATTCACTTTTAAAAGATTTTGAGTTCCAAATTTTTCCCCTCCTTCTTTTTCTCCCCTTCCCAAGACAGCATGCAATCTGATATAGGTTATACATGTACAATATATTAAACATATTTCCACATTAGACATTGTGAAAGAAGAATCAGAACAAAAGGGAAAAACTGCAAGAAAGAAAAAACAAAACACAAAAAAGTGAAAATGGCATTCTTCAATCTGCTTTCAGACTCCATCGCTCTTACTCTGGATGTGGGGAGTATTTTCCATCATTAGTCTTTTGAAAGTTTCTGAGATCATTGTATTACTGAGACGAGCTAAGTCTATCAAAGTTGATCATCTCATGATGTTGCTGTTACTGTATACAATGTTCTCCTGGTTCTGCTCACTTCACTCAGCATCAGTTCATATAAGTTTTTCCAGGTTTTTCTGAAATCTGCTTGCTCATCATTTCTTATAGCACAATAATATTCCATTACATTCATACACCACAACTTGTTTAGGCATTCCCAGTTGATGGGCATCCTCTCAATTTTCAATTCTTTGCCACCACAGAAAAGAGCTGCTATAAATATTTTTGTGCATATGTGTCCTTTTCCCTTTTTTGTGATTGCTTTGGGATACAGACCTAGTAGTGTTATTACTGGATCAAAGGAAATGCATAATTTTATAGCCCTTCAGGCATAGTTCCAAATTGCACTCCAGAATGGTTGGATCAGTTCACAACTCCACCAACAATGTATTAGTGTCCCAATTTTCCCACATCTTCTCCTACATTCATCAAAAATATGAAATACTTCACAAATTTTTTATGTCATCCTTGTGGAGGGTCCATGCTAATCTCTGTATCATTCCAATTTTAGTATATGTGCTGCTGAAGCAAGCACCATATTTTTTAACAAATCATATACTTTAGAGCTGGAAAGGATCCAGGAGATCAGCCAATCAGTTTTCTCATTTTGCAGATGGGGAAACTGAGACAGAGAGAGGTGATATATCTATATTTACCAAGGTCAGGACAATACATATATGTATAACTAGTCTTATTCCCCACCCATATATCTGATTTATCAGAGCCAATAAAGTCACCAACTTAAGTTAAAATTAAATAAATTTCTTTGTCACAGTGGAAGTGAGCAGCAGATAGTGATTTTAAAGAAAAGTCTCTCTAAAGTAAGAATGCCCAGAGAAATAACTTGAAATTTTAGTACCCAGAGCATAGCTTACAAAACAACCCAGGGCTAGCTAATAGCAGGAAAATAAACCTTAAGCCAATTTTTTTTCAGACAAATTTAATTTGTGGGAGGTGACACCTCATACTATAGGTCTCAAGATTTAAGAGATCAGACATCATGGAGTCCCAAGGAATCACTGATGGTGAAGCACCTGACTGCCAAGGGAGGGAGTAAGGCAGGGTGCAGCCAGGAAGGATGACGGTTTACTACAGAGAGGTGAAAGGTATACAGTGTTACAGCTTCCTATTTGAAATAATTGTTCTCACTAACTAGTTGACAAACTTAGTTGTTAACTACTGAGGAAATAAAGTGTTTATAGCACCCTCTAAATTGCAGCATCCAAAGAAAAGTCTCCATTGCCCACCGTGGTTACAGCTATGGGCAAACCATCATTGTTATTAATCATTTACACTATGAACTTACTGTATTTCTGACGTGTGCTAAGAAGTTCATTTTCTTCTCCTTCACCTTCCAAGAGACAGTTTGGAAAACAACAACAACAGTAACAACATAATTCTTTCTAAATTGACCATACATATGTATAAACAAAACCTTTTCCAGATTTCAGACTTAGAGTTCAAACTTAGAGCAGGAACCAGGGAAAAGGTCTTTCAACAGGAACCATCAAATTAGCCATTTCTTCCTTAATTCCTTTTATCAGCTGCGTACACATCCTGCAGAGTAAAATATGATGACCTTTAAGGTACTGGGCAAGCTCAGTATAATAATGTCCCAACAGAACTACCTGCTTTAATTATTCTAGTAATTTTGGCTCTAATTTGTTTGATTCTTCATCTTGGCATGACAAAGAAGCAAGACATCCCAGGTCCTGAGCACACGCAAGGCTTTTTTATCTTGTTAATTTGCCTGCATCTCCAGCATGGTATATCTGTACTCTTTTGCCAGAGTGAATTATTTATTGCCCATTGATTTTTGAAGATGTTAGCAATAATAAGTGACATTTATTATTATTATTATTATTAGCTACATTATCTCATTTGAGCCTCACAACAACCCTATGAAGTAGGTAATGCTGAGAATATAATCTCCATTTCAGAGACCAGGAAGCTCAAATTTTAAGAGGTTGAGTTATATGCCAATGGTCATCCATTTAGCAAATGTTAGAAATAGATTTTGAGCCTCCATCTTGCTGATTTCATATAGTTCACTGTATTTTCTATGTAGCTGGGTGGATGGAGCCCTGGATCTGGAACTAAGAAGGCTTGAATTCCAATCCCGCCTTGGACAATTTTTTTTTAGGTTGTGATCCTGGACACAGGGCAGCTAGGTGGCACAGTGCATAAAGCATTTGGCTTGGAATCAGGAAGACTCATCTTCTGAATTCAAATCCAGCCTCAGACATTAACTGTGTGACCCTGGGCTAGTCGCTTAACGTTGTTTGCCTCAGTTTCTTCATCTGTAAAATGAGCTGGAGAAAGAAATGGCCAACCAATGTAGTATCTTTGCCAAGAAAATCCCAAATAGGGTCACAAAGAGTTGGACATAACTGAAAACAAATGAACAATGACAAAACCCTCAACAAATTACTTAATCTCTATCTGCCTTAGTGTCCTCACATGCAAAATGGGGGTGATAGTAATAGCAACTACCTCCCAGGAATGTTGTAAGGATAAAATGAGGTAATATTTGTTAAGTACTTTGTAAACCTTAAAGCACTCTACAAATGTTAGTTGTTGTTATTATCATTATCATTACTATTATTATCATATGATACTTACCTTTCTCTTATCCCCCAAGATAATAGTTAAAAGGTTGAAAAATTCATAGTTTCAAAACATTCCAAAGGTCCTTCTTTCAGTGATGATACTCAAATATTTGAAATAAGGAGTAATGGATTCAAATCTAAGCTCTGACAAATCCTAGCTTTGTGACTGTGAACAAGGGATTTCACTTTTCCGAGCCTCAAACACTTCCATCTCTGCAACTGAGATGATTGTAAAACTCATGCTACCTATATCAAATAGTTGTTGGAATGCAAGTGCATAAAGCCCTAGAGAAATGTAAATGGCATATTTATTTCTTCCCTTCTTTACCTAGAATATCACAACTCTTAACATGATGTCTGTTTTCTTTGGGTTTTTTTTTTTTGCCCTAAAACACTCTGAGTATATTGCTCTCAGCTCAGGGATTAGATATACAACACCTAATATCGTATGAGCCCTGCAGTGATCATTTCTTGATGTTCAAGCAGAAGGTGATTTTAAAAAGAAAATAGCCTGTGGTCATTGACATTTATGGGAGCTGTTTTTAATTCTGTATCACCGTATGACAAAATACCAAGTCTGAGATCTGCAGTGAAGACCAAATTGTTAGAGTTTGACAGATGTCTTGAGTGGTGTTAAGTTTCACATCTCTGGAAGTCTTCAAATAAAGGTTTGATAATCACTGGCCAGTACTATTTGAGAATATTTTAGGTATGCTTTGGGTATGGATTGGACTAGCTACCCTCAGGGGCAGCTAGGTGGGGTAGTGGATAGAGCTGCAGGCCTGGAGTCAGGAAGACTCATCTCCTTGTGTTCAAATCTAGCCTTGGACACTTACTAGCTGTGGGAACCTGGGCAAGTTATTTAATCTGTTTGCCTCAGTTTCATCATCTGTAAAATGAACTGGAGAAGGAAATGGCAAAGCACTCCAGTATCTTTGCCGAGAAAACACCAAATGATGTCACAAAGAGTTGGACACAACTGAAGCAACTGAACAACAAAATACTAGCCTCTAAGACCCCATGAAAGCATTACTCTTGGAGTCAGAAGACACCTGGGTTCAAATACCAGATCTGGAAAATACTAGCTGTGTGACCAAGGACAAGTTATTATTTTTAGATTTAGTTTCCTCATCTATAAAACGGAGTTAATAATATCAAGTAGTACTCACAGGTTCTTAGGAGGACCCAAAGAAATAATATGTGTAAAGTGTGCTGTTCTTTGTAAAGCACTATGTAAATGCTAATGTTTATTATTGATGTGGTTCCTTCCATCTCCAAATTCTATATACAATCAGAATTATAAGACCATAGGGTCAGAGACTAAGATTTGAAAGGGACTTTCATGACAACATGGATGTAGGCAATATTTTACAAGAACAGCAACAACAACAAAACCATTGGCTCTGTAACCAGGCAAACTCCTGGTTTCAAGAAACCTCTGAAACTCTCTGTTTGATTTTGGCCTTGATGACTTCGGAAATTCCTTTCAGTTCTAATAGATGTGGTAGCAGGTCACTATCACTCATTCCTACCAGGTCTAAGGGCAGCTCAGTGGTTCAGTGGATAAAGCTCTGGGCCTGGGTCAGGAAGATCTGAGTTCAAATCTGGCCTCAGACACTTATAGTAGTGTGACCCTGTCAAAGTCACTTATACCTGTTTGCATCAGTTTCCTCACCTGTAAAATGAGCTGAAGAAGGAAATGGAAAACTATTCCAGGATCTTTGCCAAGAAAACCCCAAATCGGGTAATGAAAGAATCAGACATAACTGAAACGACTGAACAACAATAAAAACCAGGTCAGAACAGCTGATTGTTAAAATTTCATCATGAGCATTTACACCTAGAAAAACAGCAAGCATTACAATACAGATTTGATTTATAGTTTTATTGATTGTCTAGACTTTAGAAAGTTATGGAGAAAGTATTAATAATTCAGATCACACTTATTAGTGTTTCAAGTTTACCTTTGTTTTTAGTCATAGAACCAGTAATTAACCATTTCCCAAAATACTCCTTCTACAAGCTTTTGTCCATGTAGTCCAATCATCTCATTTTACAGATGAGCCAATTGAAACCCAAGAGGTTAAGAGAACTGTCCAAGATGAAACATGTAATGAATGACAGAACCAAGATCCAAACACAGCTCTTCTGATTCCAAACTGGGTCCTATGTCCAAAGCACGGTTGTCAAGAACCTTAGAATTCATTTACTACAATACCCTCATTTTACACATGAGGAAATTGAGATCCAGGGAGATCAATTAGCAGAACTAGGAGTCAATCAAAGGCCACACAACTCCAGATCGAAAGCTCTTTTCATGTATGTATGCATGTATGTATACATGTATGTATGTATATTAAGAGCTCATAATCCTAACAGCACCATGAATGGTCTTTCCCTGTACACACATAAACATACAATACATAGATACCAAAACAGCTTTTCTATTCTTTTTCTTCATGGCTCTGCTCAAAAACATTCCCCTGATTCTCTCAACTGATAGTAGAGAGAGAGAGAGAGAGAGAGAGAGAGAGAGAGAGAGAGAGAGAGAATGAATTAACAATTTCTCCATTGCATTACATTTTTGTCCCAAAAAGAACATGGTATTCAGTCTCTTACAACTTCTGGAAAAAAATAGAAGAATCTAGACAATAATTAATTAGTATAACTCCTGGAACCATATATTAGGCTATTATTTCTGGGAACTGTGAATTAAATTTTAAGATTCTGATCTGCCTGCCAACTATAGAGATGACTGTTTTGAGTTATCTCAAGTTGGCAGCATAATTTAGCAAAAGTGTCAAGTATTTGAGTCCATGCTTTGTCATTAATGATGTGATCTTTTAATAGTCTCTAACTTTTCCTGAACTTCAACTTCCTCATCTATATAATGGGGACAATAATGCTTGTATTGCCCACCTCACAG